CCCTCATCCTCACCCTTGCACCCTCATCCTCACCCTTGCACCCTCATCCTCACCCCTGCACCCTCATCCTCACCCCTGCCTTCCACACACAGTCCCCAGTTCATCCCAATTGCACACTGGAATCCTCGGCGCTGCCCTGGCCATAATGGTCTCCTTCTCGTGCTCTCTCTCCCCAAACACCCACTGTGGCTGTCAGTAGCACCATGAGCTGGTTGTTTGGGTCCCCACAGGTTTCTCTGAATGGTCTGTGAGGTCAAAGCCTTGGGACTATCGTGGGAATGGAAGATGAGGCTGGGAGCCCTGGCGGGTGAGCCCATGGTGGGACAGGGGGCATGGAGAACCTTGCTGGATCAGGGCACAAGATTTCATTTCTGCCCTTTCATTACCCACATGACTGCAAATTCCTTGTCTCTTAGGGTTTCATAAGAAGGGAGCCCATGGGATAGGAGAGGAAGTAAGCATTCTACTTGCTAAACAAGGAAACAGAAAGCAAAACTTCAGCATTTACAAGAAACCAGCACTGGCAGTGCCATCCTCACTGCAATTAAAAGCTATCTCAAACACTCCACACCCTGGCCCTGAACCTGACCTGATCCTGCCCTTTTGCTTTTGTCTGGTATGTGCAACCAGGGCTGCCCCCCTCCAGCCCACAATGCCAGGGGTTTTCCTGTTGCTGTTGGAGCAGGTTCATTTCCCTCATCTACCAAATCCCTGCACCCACTGCAGGTCACCAGCTGTCCACACACACATACCCTTGCCCAGACCTCATGACTCCCTGTCCTCCTGTCCATCCTCTGCAGTGAGCAGGGAGTGGTTTGGGGTGGAGGAGCTCCTGTGGGGCAGGGTGGAAGCCCAGACACAGCCCTCCACCAGTAGACATGGGGCTAAGGTCCCCCAGATTGGGTGATGCCAGTGGGAAGCCCCACGCAATCCCTCCTACATCCTGGTTCCCACTCATCCCCATTCCCATCCCTGTTCCAGTCCTCATGCCCATTCCCACCCCCATTCCAGTCCCCATCCCCACCCTCACCCCCACCTTCAAGCCTCATCCTTGCCCCGTCCCCATCCCCCCCCACCCCTGCTTTCCAGCCCCATCCCTGTTTCTGTCTCCATCCCCATCCCTATGCACATCCCCTATCCACATCCCCTGTCCCTCATCCCTGTCCACATTCCCACCCCTGTTCCCAATTCCTGTGCCTCTTCAAAATCCTCCTCTCCTCCAATGCCCGTCCCTGTCCCCATCCCCATTCCCATCCCCGTTCCTCCTGCAAGTGCTGCCCCAGGGCTTTCCGGGAAAGCAGCGGAGGACTTGGGATATGTTGGCTGTGCCAACATCTCCCTCTGAGCACATGTGGGAATGGATGTAAACTCCCTATAGCAAGTGTAGTAGGACTGCTGCCAGCTCAGATCTATACTTAATTCTCTGTTATAATTGCGCAAAGCATCCTAAAGCACTTTAGGATGTTAAATTAATCAATGATTAAGTGCCGCCAAATCCTTTAGACAGAAAGCACTGAGCCAGTACTGGACTAGGATTGGAATCAGCCACACCTAGGATCTTTCAGCAGTTCAGAAAGCAAGGGGGACCTCTCTGAACTCCAGTGGGATTCAATGGGAGCATCTCCCTTATCCTTTTCCGTCTCCAGTCTCCACATAAATCATTCTAAATTCATTCTCACTCATTTTACCCACACAATAGGCAATAGAATGAACCTTGCTATCAAACGCTTTTAAGTCACACTTTTGCAAACTGATATTAAACCTGCTTTTGCCAACACCTTTCACAGTGATGGTGTAAGCAACCCAAAGCCCCTGAGGATGCACAGGGAACCTGTCCAGGGCAGGGACAGGGAGCTCACCTGGTGGCGTTCCAGTTATTTTTAGTGTTGTCAGCATGTGACCGCAGAAGCCACATGGTCTTCAAAGTCTCATTTCCATCCTTGTCCACAAAGCATTGTCCCGTGAAAATGGTGATGGAGTCTGCAGGGACAGGACAGGAGGTGCAGTGACGCATGGCCAGGGTGGCAGGTCAGTGCCTGCCCCAGCACGTGGGACAGTAGAGCCCTGCTGTCCCTGGCCCCTGGGACATTGGGGATGTGGAAAGCAGGCAGGAGGATTCAGAGGGCTGGGGGTGTTGCATGGAAATGGGCAGACAGCTGTGGGCTTCAGCCCCTGTTGCATCTCCTGCACACTGGGACTGGGAAGTGACAGCAGCCAAGGAGCTCCAGGGACAAGGCTGGGGGAGCATCAGGGGCACCAGAGGGGATGAGAGAGCACTGGGACAGTGCAGGGGAAGGCAGAGAATCAGCAAGGATGCTGATCAGAGAGGGGTAGAAGAGCTTCAAGGGGATCACAGCAGAGAGGGTAGGGCAGGTCTGGGGACGACACACCAGAGAGGCTGAGAAAGGAGAAGTACCTGAAAAAGTCCAGTTGACAGTGAAGCCAAAGACGGGCTGGTCTATTGGGTTTTTGAGGTGCTGGAAGCCCACCAGTGGTGACTGCTGGATCTTATTCGGGTGGTCTGCCACAGATGTGTTGTACAAGCCAATGAAGTTGCCTTTTTCATTCACATCTGAGATGGTCATGTTGGAGCCCAGGTCGTTTGTCCAGTTTCCAGTCAGGTTGCACTGCAGCAGACGGGACTCAGTACTGGTGCCACAGCACAGCCTGCAGCCCTTGCCCACC